TTGATGGCTCTCAGGTCTGTAAGCATCCTCTATTTCCCAGATTTCTTTTTGATAACAAACACAGGGGAATTCCACGCACTGGTAGATTCTTCAATATGTCCAGCATTTAGCTGTTCCTGAACCAGGTTTTCTAAAGCCTCTAGATTCTCAGAAGTCATAGGCCATTGCCCTATCCATACAGGTTCACCTGTTAGTCATTTTAAGTGTAAGGCTTTTGGTTCCTCTGTGGGTTTGTCACTTGTATTCTGTTTATGTCCAGCCTGAATGGTTGGTGTCTGTTTTCTGTAGTGCCTTACAATATTTTTTCTACCACCAAGACCTTGTTTATGATTCATATCTGATACAGGAGGAATGTTAATCTGGGTATTCCATTGCTACAACAGATCACGACCCCAGACATTTATAGTGATGTCTGCAACATATGGCCTAAGTGTTCCTCTTTGTCCTTCTGACCCTATACATTCAACCCATCTCATGCTTTGTTTGAACATTTGCCTCTTGTAGGGGCCATCTTGAAAGCCAAGATTTTTATGTTATAATGTTTATATCAGTTCCAATGTCTCAAATGCCAACAATAACCTTGTTATTCACCTTAACTTCCAGTTTAGATCTCTGATTCTGTATAGAAGTTTGCCAAAATATACGTTAGTTTTGATTCACCCTCAGTAGCTAATCTATCATTCAGAGTGGTATTATTTTTTAACAGTAGGCAGTGGATCCTCTAATCATCCTGAGAGATATTGTCCTCCACAGTGACTGGATATGACCCAAACATTTTTGATATGGGGGCCTTAGAGAGGCACTCTAAGGAGTTTCCTGATTGTAAAGGGTTACCTTGCTTGTCTGTGGTTGACCTACATTCATTGGTCTGATGTTGGCCTTTGTCACATCTCCTACATATTCCAGAGTCATTCCTAGGAGGAGCACTATTTCTAGGAATGCTTTGCCTACAATTTCTTCTTAGACATCTTATTCTATCACAGTTAAAAATTTTGGTATTTTGATGTCTTTTTAAACCTGTGGAGATTGTTTCTCCTACCCAAGCTCCTGTGTCACCACAGTTAAGGCATCTGGCATCTTGGTGCCTATTCAAACCTTTAGATATTGCTTCTCCTACACAAGATTCTGTATCCTGATCTTTATAGTCAAGTTTAGCTGTATAGAGAACCCATTCCCTGATTTTATCTTTAATGTCCAAAGTACCTGTTGTGTTGTAGATTTGCATTCTCATAAGCTAGATCTTCTATGAATATTCACCTAGAATGCGAATCAGTTACCTGTAATTCTACTGCTTTGGACAATCTTTGTAAGAATTCAGTGAACCTTTCTCTTTGTTCCTGTACCACTTTGGTATAGGGTTCTATTTTCTCTCCTGGTTCATGAGCCTTATCCAAAGCATTCAGTGCTGCTGTACAGCAAAGAGACAAGATGTGTTCATCTTATGCAGCCTGAGTCTGTGGATCAGCATAAGTACCCTCACCAAGAATCTTATCTTGGGGAGATTCATAACCTTTCTTTAAACCTTGAAGCTCGAGGGCTTTAGCCTCTTCCCTTCAGAAATCCTTCTAATGTATTTGAGACAAATTTCCAAGCACTGCTGAGAACAATTGACTCCAATCCTGAGTTCACTTGTCCATGAGTTCAGAAGTTCCTTGACATAAAATGAATGGAGACCATAAGAGACAATGGCTTCTTTTATTCCCTTCAAGTTGATAAGCAACGAAGCCATCTGAGTGTTTTTTCATTGCAGGTTTTTCAGACATAGATAACGGGGAAACCATAGGAGAGGGCAAAACAACGTCTTCCCGGCATAAACCTCTTTCATGACCTGTTGTTTGCATCTCAGATTCTGATGTATCAGATTGTGGGTTGTTTATCTCAGATTCTGATGTATCAGATTGTGGGTTGTTTATCTCAGATTCTGATGTATCAGATTAGGGGGCATCTAAGGCCTGCAACCTATTCACCATGTTTCTCCAAGTGTTTGAACCTCTTGGGTTAAAAAAATTTCCAAGTACTTTATAAAATCAGTCAACTTTTTGGATTCATCATTTATACATAATTCCAAATATTTAATATTCTCATCCTTATATATTATCTGAATGGCATGTAAGTTACCTTCTAGAAACAGTGTTCTATCTGATAGCTGGTCAGTATCCTCAGACATGGAATGATTTTTTTCTGTAACTTTTCCAATCTGAAGTTTCAGTCTTTGAGTTTTATTAATGGAGTCATCAGGCATGGAACAAGTTGTTTCTGATAGCATGGTAATGCCATCTTGAATTGATTCTATTTTGGTCATTAAGGAAGTGAGCATGGAACAAATCCTGTCTCATAGTTGGCCATTGTTATGTTCTAACTTGGTCAACCTGTCAGTCATATCCCTTAAGATTCTGAATTCTTGCCTCTAATTTACCAATAATTTTCACAACTTCCTTGCCCTTCGCCCTATTATCAAGCCCTCTCTTCCAGGATATTATATGGATTATGAAGCTAATCGTTAGCATTAGATATAAATATATTTTGTGTAGGTCATAATTCTCTCCCAGGATGTCAGCAATATAAGAATAAAAAATATCCCTAATATTCTGCATCATAAAATTATTCACCATTGGTTTAGAGTAGTTAATCATATTTATTATGACCAGCTTAAACCACAGGAGTGCAATGTTTACCTTTTGTGATTTTCTGGTCTCAGGCTAAGGTGTAGATTTGTACTTGTGGTAACTATGTTTCGCCAGCAGGTGGCACAGGTGTACCATCAAACACAGTTTCATGGGATGATCATTCTGTTCTAAGTGGAATATGAAAAAATCTGGATAGCTTTTACAGAAATTTAGCGATCAGGATTTTGTTAAAAAGAAGGGGAAAAAGCCCTGTACAGATTGTGGAGACCTGAGGGCAGGAAAGGAAGCCGTGGCTGCATTTGCAGGTGGCCAGAGTACTTCTTGAGGCAGGAAGCGTATCTGTGCTCATGTTCCACCCAAGTGGCGGGTGGCTTAGTGAGCAGCAGAGATTCAGCAGGTCCGGGATGCAACTGTGGGAGTCGTTGTTTTCTGGGCAGGCAGAAGTATTGCCAGTCTCTAGAAACGTTGTACACAGCTGCATGAGGCAGGAGGTTGGACCTAGGAGCTTCCAGAGAACAAAGGAACTGGCACCCTGTTTGGCGGCTGAACAGGGATGAGAAGCCTCCTCGAGCAGGAGAACGGAGCTGAGTTGCAAATCCCCTGTAACTCAGGAGGAACTCCCAGGGCATGTGGGTGGGCCATGCAGGGACTGCAGTGGTGAACTGCAGGGCCGGGAGCCGGACACGCTGGTGGAGAGCAGGTACTCATCGACTCTGGAGGCATGGGACTGGAGCTGTTCTGACACCAGATGTTGAGGAAGATTAGTCCACATAGGATAGGGATGTCATATGATATTTTATTAGGGAGAAGTCACTTACATGAGAAGCTGAGAACCCAAGGTCAGCGCTCTGCTGTTCTCTGAGACCCAACTAGAACCCCAAGAGAGAGCGAGTCCCCTTCCTCTTAGCACTATATCCCCTGCATTTTCTACGTACCTGTGACGGGCGTGTTCCATGCTACAGGTACTTAAGATCTCTCCCTACAATGCCCTTTTTTTCTCTCCTAGAAAACAAATGAACTTGTAAGAAATAATAATAATAAGGCACAGAGGACTGAGAGGTGAGTGATCCACTTCCCACCCAGAGCACACATCCACCAGGCTCTTGGTTCCAGGCAAAACCCGGGCCCTTCTTCCATCTCAGGTGCACTAGCAAGTCAGAAGGAAAGACTACTGCAGGTTGGTTCCACCAGCAGCCCCCCATGAGACCCTGTAACCTACAAATCCCATTCCACTCTCAAGCCCACACAACCCTGGCAATTACAGCATCTCCCTGGGACACAGACGTCTACTGCACACTGAGGGCTGAGAGGGTTGGATCAAGAAGCAAAGACACTGCCTGCACCATGTGTAAGAGGTGGGTAGACATCAATACAAGAGTACATTCAATATGACAACACTAGAACCTAGATAATATAAAGAGGAAAACTTGGGAGATTGTCTGTCTATCTATCTATCTATCTATCTATCTATCTATCTATCTGAATCCAAGAAACTTCTGCTTTTCTAAATTTCTACAGAATAAAACTACAAACAGTTTATCAGCATGTGGTCCCAAGCTTGAAAGAATGGGTGAGAAATTCCGTGGATGAGTCTGGGTAAGAATGTTTTATAACCCAAATGGGAAAAAGTGACATTAAGTAGGATGAGGGAGTCCATATAAATTAGAAAGATAGTTAAGATTGTTAGTGTTTGAAGTGGGAGAAAGTATTCAGAGAGTGAAAGTGATTGGCATGGGGTGTTGTGTGCCTGGAATTCAAACATTTCATTTTTATGTCCCATTCTCCACAAACTCTGTATAATGTATTCAAACTTTCTATGATTTAACTTTAAGTTTTCATATTTTGTCTTCATCATTTATTTTTATCCTTAGGAGACAATCTTTTTAACCTTAAAAAATTTATCCTTATCTAAAATATTCTCTTTTCCTTTTAATCCTTTTTAACCAAAATACAGCCTCATACTTAACATCCTTCTGAATTAATTTCTCATGTTCATTTAGTCTTTCTTTTTTGTTCCATTTTCCTAAAAAGACTTGAATCTAAATAACATACAGGACACACTGTAGCAAATTAAGCTTGCTTGTGCAAGTGTCAAGCAAACATTATTTCTGCTTGGACATCATTTTCTACCCTATAGCTAGAAAAAAATTACATTTTAGCAAAAACTTCATCATACTATCAAAAACACTTTGATGTGAGAGACTGTTTCCTGTAAACAAAAACAGGCAGAAAATAAACCATATCTGGAGCCAATTCTTCTACATGTTAATCCTGTAATAAAAGTTTTAGATGACAAGAGATGTTTATTAATGCCTTTTAATCCCTATAAAAAGTTATAGGGGTTATTATTTCTGGTTTTCTTTCTTTTCTTTCAGGGAGAGTGTGAATGCAGTCTCCCACTACCACAAATTATGCAGTCAAGTTTCCTGCATTTGAACAAATCTCGGGGGTCAGTTCATCCGGAGTGCAATGGCTAAGCCTCACCTTGAGAAAACCACCTCCATGATCATGGTATCTCATGGTAAGTATTCTGGTTTTCTTTTTAAGGTATGACATTCCCTCTTGACCTCAGATTTTAAAATGTTTATACCCACTCCTACAGAGTACTCCATAACCCAACAAAAATGTAATACAAGGAACTTCCTTTAGAGTCAATTCAAGTTATTCCCAAAACTGGGTAGGCTAATACTGTTGCCCTTTGTTTGCCTCCATTAGTTTGAAGGTAAGCCCTTCCTGCTTGAACAAACCACATGTAGGACACAGAACTGAGGTTATTTAAGCTGGATATTCCTCTGGTCATGGCATTCTACCCCTAAAGAAAGCAACTAGTGACTGTTAAGAGAGGGAGAATCTAATTCTCCCAGAGATGAGACCCTTAATTGGTTAACCAATACAAAATGATCAGTCCCAAAACTACTTACACACAAAAAATAAAAACGATCAGCATGTTGTACTTATATATTTGACTCAGCATGCTGTACTTAGTATTTGTGCATATGTGACAATAATAATAAAAGAAAAAGAGGCTATCAATTTGAGAGTGGGGGAACTTGGGAGGAGTTTGAGGGAGGGTACATGGAAGGGGCTAGATGGTGGCAATAGGAGGGAAGTGATATAATTATATTTTAATAAAACTTTACTAACAATTAAAATACCAAAAATGAATAACATTGAGAGTTAGAATAAAGATACAAAAATATTTTTCACTTTATTTTTTTATTTAATTTTACATTCCAACCACAGTTCTCCCTCTCACCCCCTCACCTCCCCCCTAGCCCACACTCATCCACTCTTAACGCATGGGAGATGGGCCTGGCCCTACCCCAACCAATTAAGCCTATGAGGAATCAACTAATTGTGGCACAATAGGTTGGGGCAGGGCCAGGCCTATCTCCCATTCGTTAAGAATGAGCATGGCATCACACCAAAGGGAATCATGTCCAACAAGCTAGCTCTCATACCAGGACAAAAAGATGTTTTTGTACATTTTTGTGATGTTAAGTATCAAATCAGAACCCATGATTCTTAATCTAGAACACTGCCAATGATCTATACCTCAGCCTTAAAATTGTTTCTTTTAAAAAAGATTGACAAACCCTTACTCAAACAAACCAAAATAAATTGAGGAAAAATAAAAATAACAAAATTAGAAATTAAATAGAAATGGTACAGGAGATACCAATAAAATCGATGGCTAATGAGGTGTATATTAAAAATTCTTATCAAGTTAACTTCCAAAATCTAGAAGTGGATAGATTTCTATACATACTGCCTATCAAAAGTGAATGAAGAAGATAGATAAAAATAAGTTAGTCAGATTTACAATAAGTAATATGATTGTCAGTAGTAAAAAAGGTTTTACAACAAAGAAAACTGCAGATCCTATCAAATTCATTGCTTAATTCTACAAGGTTGGTTAAAGAACAAATAAACAATGTTACTCCAATTCGTCTGGAAAATAAAGTAGGAATAAATACTACTAAAATCATGTTTTGCCCAGCAGTGGTGTCCACACCTTTAATCCCAGCACTCAGGAACAGAGGTAGGTGGATCTCTGTGAGTTCAAGGCCAGCCTGGTCTACAGAGACAGTTTCAAGATAGCCAGAGAGACACAGAGAAATCCTGCCTTGAAAAACAAAAAAAGATGCTTTAAAGTTAATATTATTGGAATAGCAAAATTATTTGTGGCTCTAACAAAAGAAATTATTCTATACCAACATCCTTGATGAATATAAAAACAAAATGAAATATTTCCAAAATGAATTCAACAAAACAATAAAAGGATCAGATACCACAATTAAGTTTCCAAAAAAATGTAAGAGTGGTTTAACGCACACTGATTAATGTAATGCAGTATGTAAACAGAATCTGGTCACTCTCAACAGATGCAGAAAATGCCTTTTACAAATTTCAGTATCTCTTCATGAAAAATGCTGTGAAAATGTGTTGGGGCTGTAGCACAGTTATTAGGGTGTTTGTCTAGTATACATAAAGCCACAAATTCAGTTCATAAAACTGCATAAACCAGGCATGGTGGTAACCTAAGTAGTTGTGAGTTGGAGGTAAAAAGATCACCCTGCCTACACAGTGAGTTTTAAGTCAGTCATAGCTATACAAAACCCTGAAAAGTTAAAAATGAAGGGGAAAAAGTATTCCCCAAAGTAAATTAGTAATAATAGGAATGTATTTCAATAAAGTAAAATCTATTCTATAAAGTCTATAGCCAAAAGTATTAGTCAGGGTTCCCTAAATGAGCCCAACTAGTAGAATGAACACACACACAGAGAGAAATGGGATTTATTATAGTGGTTTGTATGCTGTGATTCTGGTAGTACAACAATGACTATCTCCTGATGGAAAGGCCAAGAATCCACAAGACTGGATGTCTCAGCAGTCTCAATATGGTGCTGAAGTCCCAGGGAATTCCTAGAAAACTACTGTTCTTCAGTCTGCCTTGGAAACCTGAAAAAGTAGCTTCTAACACCAGTGGAGGGATTTCTCAGCAACAGGATAGATGAACTTGCCAGCTTGAGGGAGGCTAGGCAGGCAAATAGGAAACATTTTCATGTCATTTTATATAAGCTGCTAGCAGAAGTTGTGGTCCAGGTAGTGTGGGTCTTACCATATCATATAATTCAATCAAAGACCCTTAACAGGCATGCTCGTTTTCTTGGGTTTTAGTTTATTCTAGATGTAGTCAAGTTGACAACCAAGAGTACCCGTCACACAATCACACCAACATTATAATAAATATGGGAAAACAGGATACATATTTTCCCAAAATGAGGTAGCAGAGTGAAATGTTCATGGGCCTAACTTTTATGCAATCTAGTGTTGGCATTGCTATCCAAAGCAACAAGGCAAGGGACAGAATTTTAAAAATGAGAAAAGTTACAAAGAATGAACTAAAACTGTCTTATTTGTAAAAAATACAATGTGATTTTTAAATGACCCAAAATAATTCTCTAGAAAACTACTAGATTAAATAAAACCTTTTAGCAAAGTAATAGAAAAATCAATATATAAGAAAATCACACAAGATTCAATGTACCAATAAAAATTATTATAAGAAAGAAATCAGAGTGGGGAAATTATATTTGTCACACCATTAAAATGTCCATGAATAAAGCCAACCATGGAAATGAACAGCATCTACACAGAAAATTTCATACTGAAAGAAACTGAATAAGGAACTAAAAGGCAAAAGGGTGCCAGGTTTTCATGGAATAGAGGAATTAATGTTTTAATATTAATACATTGGCTGTATTCTCTCCAACTGACACAGAAATTTAATGTAATCTCCATCAAAATGCCATTAACACCTTTTTCATAAGTAAAAAGTTATAAAAATTTATATGAAGCACAAAAGACACACACAATAGCTAAAACAATTTGAGACACAATGCTGGAGGAGGCAGCATAATATACAATTCAAATTATACTTCATAGCCACAATAACAAAACTGTATTAAGTTGCCACAAAAGCAAATACATAGGGTAATGGAATATACTTAAAGATTCAGAAATGATCCAATACAGCTATGCTATGAAATTACTAAATGGACCAAGACACACTGTGAAAGAAGACAGACTGTTTAACATGTGATATATGTAAAAGTGGAAAGGCATATGCAAAAGACTGAATCTAGATATGCATGTCTCACCCTGTACAAAGTGAATGAAAGACCTTAATGATATATATGAGACTTTAAGATTACCAGATAAATATATATAGGAAACACCTCAGGATCTAGGCATGTGCCATGCCTTTCTGAATATGCTGTAATAGCTCAGGAAACTGTGACAAGAATTTACAAATGGTATAGTGTAGCACAAATTCTAATTGATCTAACAAAAACTCGGAATCAGATATTGGGGTTAATGCTGAAGGATTAGAGAAGCAGAACAGCCAGCCACTATACAGTTCTCACTTCTACAAATGCTCAGACCAAAGGGGTGATCATGTGCTCAGACTGCACCCTCAGACTGCTTAGATTGCACTGCTCCTCAGGCTGCATCTCTCTTGTCTCCTCCTGCCTTATATTCCTCTCTCTGCCCAGTCATATCACTCCTGTCTCCACTTTATTGTGCGGGGATTAAAGTCCTGTGAACCCAAGTGCTGGGATCACCTATGTATGAGCTCTGTTTCTCTATTAGACTGATTCAATTTTATGTAACTCAGGGTAGCCTAGAACTCACACATATCCCTCTGTTTCTGTCTCCTGAGTGCTGGGATTAAAGGTGTGTGCCACCACTGCCTGGCCTCTATGGTTGACTAATGTGACTAGCTTTGTACTCTGAACTTCAGGCAGGCTTTATTTGTTAGATCATAAACAAAATATCACCATAGTATAGAATTAAATTTAAAATCTGCTACAAAGCAAGCATTCAGTAAAGAAAATCTGTGGTCATAGTTTTTTTTTCTGAAAATATCTCTTGACCCCAAAGAGACTGAACTTTTGCTAGACCTTGTGGTCAACAATTCATGATGATATCAGCATTTAAGAGCCTGTAGCAAACTGACCTAGACAATCTGCATATATGTTATGATTGCATTGCTTCATGTTCTTGTGGTACTACTAACAGTGACAGCAGGGTCTGTTTCTGACTCTTTTGCCTGCTTTTGGGATCTTTTCCCTCCTACTGGGTTGCCTAGTACAGCCTTAATATGAGAGGATGTGCCTAGTTCTATTATAATTTGTTCTGCCATGCTTTGTTGCTATTCATGGAAGACCAGCCCTTTCTTGAACAGAAATGGAGGAGGGAGTGGATTGGAGGGTGAGAACAGAGGGGTAGGGGTTGGGCAGGGACTGGGAGGAGAAAAAGGAGGGGAAACTGTGGTCAGGATGTAAAACAAAGTTTAGATACTTAACCTGCTGTCCTACTGTGTACTCACTGTGTGTAAATTTAACCTGCTTTTAAGAGATCAACACTCTTTCTTAGTTTTGTCTTTGTGTGGTTTGTGTATCAGGGTAACTGTGGCCTTGTAAAAAGAGTTTGGCAATGTTTTTTCTGTTTCTATTGTGTTG